CCTAACCACAGCAGTGAGGGTCAAACGCCCAATCGATATATATATATATATATATATGGTAGTGGGACGCCCACTCGTCATTACTGCGGAACGCACTCGTCCCGTTGTGCCTAAAGGTTGTCTCTCGAATCCAACCAGCAGCCGTACCCCGGCGCATGAAATAGGCAGCAAAGTATTGTCGACAGGTCAACGGGCGCGGGGTTCAGTGTTTAGAGGCAGTGGATTTCTAACTAAGATGTGGTCTAACTAAGATGATGTGGTTAATGATAACCGATACTGTGACCGCACATTGCACATTTACACAACACAATTTTTCTTGGTCACTTTTACCCTAGAAATTGTAAACCGCGCACTCTTAAACAATATTGTAGCGTGCATTAGAAACTTGTCATAGTATTGTCAAGAAGCCGATAATTCAGCGTTTTCTTTCCGTTTGTCCAGGGATGAACCGTGGTTACTACATTATGAAGCTATTTATACAGGCAGTAAATGTCTACACCAATTTGTTTGACATAAGACATCTATTTCGGAATAAAATTTATGTGATTCCGATGTAGGGAAGGGAAGTAAACCCAAATACTGAGGAGGTTTTGAATTTGACGACTTTCTACTAGAAAGTCTAAACTGGTTGACTCTTTTGGGGGTACAGTTTGCACATTTTTGTATTTCCCCATCTTCACTCTCGTTATCCTGATCACGAATATTATTTTGTCTGCATCCTTCGTAGGCACAAGCAGTCGTCTTACGCGAGTCTGATAACTGCCTCCACCATACTGCTGAGGGTAATATGCAAATTGATATAACTTCTACTGACTCCACGGTCGCCTAGGTTTTCCAATCAGTTCTCCAGTGTAGGCTGCAAAAGTGGCTTTTAATCACCATTTGTGCGTTTTAGCGCGCGCTTTCGATGACAGATTACTACAACATTTGCATAATTTACGCTCTGCGGTGTTTCCAGGTGTACCAAGATAAAAAGCGAAATGGGAAGGCCAGCGGTGTTGCTTTTTTCAAGAAAATATGTTGCAAATATCGTTAAGCGAGAGTAGGATATTTTTGTGGTGCGAAGAGTTTTCATCAGGTTTCAATTAGGCAAAGCAGCGTGGCTTGATGTTCTGCAAATTAGTCGGGGTTGTTAAAATGGATTAAAATTCAAACCCGCAGCGGCAGACGTCCACTCGAATTATTGGATACTCACATCTTCAAAAATAATCCAGCACCAATCCAGCTACAACTAATGACTAATGTGCTGAATAAAGTGGACGTCACTATGAAAACTAACTAATATGACCTTTCAAATTTAAAAGATAATATACATTTTCTTATGACTGGCACACTGTTTGTCGAATGAACGTTCTGTCTCAGGGAAAATGTGCGGAAACAACTGCAGTTTTTCTCTGAATGTTCTTAAACGATTTTATATGATGATTTTTGAGCTCTGCTTACGCAATGCGCGATTGGCGTAGAATGGAAACCTAACAACTAAGGTACTGCTTTGTCATATTATTACATAGTTTTTCTTTCTAAATTTCATCGCGCAAAATGCTTTACCTTGATGGGGAAATGAGTGGTCAAGTGGTCTGAATGTTCACTGGAAGGTTTGACTTGGGGCCGAACGATGAAATTTTCTGACAAACTGTATACATCCTACTCCTTTTGCACAAAGCCGGACACAATGTCTTTAGTCAGACGCACCCGATCAGCAAAATTTCACGTGTTTCTGAACGTTTGATTCCATTTTTATAGTTTTTATGTAAACAAACTGCAATAAGAATACAAATAATACTTATTGGACAGTCTGATATTCCCCAATAAAATAGTCCAAATAATAGGCCTACCCACAGTCTCTGGACATTTCGGCCTTGTTTGTTAATTTATACGGTCAGATCTTCTTCTGAAAGTGTTGACATTTTTGTCGCTATAGCCGTGTCTTCAACGAAGTTCTGTGCAGACAATTCCTTTAGTAATTTTACGGGGCCAAACAACTACATCAGATAAATATGTACTTGGGCATAGCAAGGAGGTGTTTTTAGGATTTCTATACGCTGCTCGATGCGGATTTGTGAAAACCAATGTTCGGTGCTGATTGTGTTCATTCGATTACATTATTGGAACCACGTTATTCCAGCCGACCGTCCGAGGATGCATTTAAGACAAACAAGCTCCTTCGCACAGAACAGAAAATCGCATAAAACAACTCGCTAGCCCTTTTTAGCTAAGCCTCAGCAAAATGCAAGTCACAATAATGCGTTCTATACAGGAGACATTTTAAATACAATATTTACACGGGTCCAATAAGAACGTCATCAGTATTTGTCTCTGCTGTTCGTACGCGCGTGACATTTCTATAGTTTAATCGGCCAGCAGCTTATTTTATCAGATTCAAAGTCTACTGATTCATAATCTGCAATTTTTCCGATTACTTTATATGCACCTCCATCTTAAAGTAAATGTCCTATATGTGAAGTGGCCTCATATGCACTTAACTAACAATTCACGCATGCACAACTGGCAAAAGGCGTTAATAAGTACATGGGCAATTATTTTGGAGAAAATACTTCTAAGTTCTCGCAACAGGATTATTATAAAATCATCTAAGGTAGATATTGTTCTTTGTTTCTTGCATGACAAATTAGAAGAGAGTGTAATAATCTATAAACTGCTTATTTTCGGTGTTTCTTTCAACATTCTAATTGAAACTGAAACATAATGTCGCGCAAAAACGTTACTCGTCAATTTTTATAAAAATTAAGGAAGCCTATAATGCTGAGTTAAAGTTCTCCAAAATGCGACGGTATACAGAAAACGCTGAGCCGACAACGGCTAGGTCGAGCCTCCTACAGATGCGTCATGTATTGATACAAAATTGGTGCGACACACATTGCGGATCCTAACTAGCGGCTGTGTTGGGGGCAAAATAAATAAAGTTCTGAACAACTGTTGGCAACGTGGGAGTATTACAGAAATTTTCCTCAGCCGTTACTTGAACTCAGATCTAACATCTCGAAAATTCTGGCGAGCGTAATGACAATTGCTTTAATCAAGAAAATAAAATAATTTGCAACCTAGTGGTATTGTGATTTACCTTATTTTACTATTACTACGTGCTATTTTTAAGTGGCAACTTGGTGAGTATAATGCATGTTCGTATCACTTTTAATAATAATTATCCCACATCAAGACCTACCGTTATTTAGAAAAGACGATATATTCGCTGTATTTGCTGTTCTCTTAGTCCAATAAACAGGTACTGAATTCGTGCAAATAACGGTTACAGTGCGCTCAAATTAAATTAGTGCAAATACGTACGATTTCTAAATGCAAAAAACCCACATGCAACCATCAATTAGAAAACTAATCACGATGAGGTAGGTTAAAGTAGTTTTGCCGAAATGGTATATTTTGAATACGTAAACATAACAAATCCCGCCTACCTGTTCCCTCTATCTGACTGAAAACCTAAGAATTGCGTAGGACTTTACTACCCCTTTATATTTGACAATGTTACATTGTACACGAGTTAAACAATTACGTTAAGCTTTAAAAGTATGCACTACACTTTCTCCTTTTGTTCATAGTCCCAATTCGGCCACTTAGAAAAATGAAAATATAAAATAAGCCAGATTAAAACAATATTCTATTTTTACTGCCTACACTTTATCCCATACAATGTAGCCGTGATTATTAGACGACCATCCGTTGATGGGAAGTTAATTAAATGTTTGCGTTAATCTATCGTCAGTTTTATGTCCGGATTTGAACAGCACTGTTGGAGATTATCTAATGTTTGTACTCGAAGTATCTTCGTGGCTTGCGTTGACCGGTAGGTTGCCGTGCAATGCAGTCAGGTCGTTTGGTTGTCCCTAGCTGTAATAAATATGTTTCAACACAGTTGACCAAAAACAATCTGTATATGTATTGGTCCAGCAAATGTACATGACATGTGCTTATTTCGAAAGATCGCATTATTTATTATGATGATTAACAATGTAGCAAATTAGGTGTTTTAATAGTTGCAAAGATTGGAGCCTTAGGCATTCGATATTAGTGTTTTAATATTTGTGCATTTACCTTCTATGTAGACTGCAAGCCCAGTAAATATTATTTATGGTATTTAATATGTAAAACATAAAACGTGGTATTGCGACTTGATAATTCTTCCATGCATAGACAATATTATCAAATATTCCGTGAATTGTAGGCTACCAAATAAATCAAAATACCAGTCTTGGAGACCTCCTAAAAGCAAGTGATAACGATGCCATAGGACAAACACTGTACATGCAAATGTTCAGTTAAATCTACCTTCTGGAATCTCACGTAGTAACATTAATGGCTGCTGTGAAGAATATACATGTTTTTCCTCTTACTTATTTGATTAGATTAAATTCAGTTTCGAGTGTATACTATTTAGTAGACCCTACTTTGCCTCAATGTCTGGTTTACATAGCATCCTTAAAACCAACGACCGGTCACAAATGCTTGCATTGATTCCTTGTCGGGTCTTACAACAAAACCAGTTTGGCACACCAATGTTCATCAACCGCCATATTAACGGCATACCTCCTCTCATATTTAGAAAACCAGCAAACATACGACGGCATTTAAATCCGGCAATTTCTTCTTAGTCGTGAAGCTAGTCATCTGTACTGATCTGTCTTTTTTATGGCCAGGTAGCATGCAATGCAACTGCAATAGTAGCTAGTAGCGCATTTAATGATTACCAGACATTAAACTATATGCACAAAGTTGGTAGTTATTTTCAAACTATTTTCCGAGTCAATACATAGTTCAGACGATGTTGCGTTTGAGGTGGTATTATAATCCGATTTTGAAAACTAACTGTTGCAATGGGAGTGAAAATGTTCAGAAATAAAAACTAAATGTGGCATTAAAATTTTATAACCAATGGAACAAATCACTCTCGTTTATAAAAAAGATAGACAGATAGATAGTTTTCGGCGCGCATCAAACGTCTGGCAGTGGAGGCAGATGAGGTGATGATGTCTTTTGACGTGATCTCATTGTTCACCTCCATCCCACCCGCGCTGGCTATCGACACTATTGACGGTTTTCTCCGGGAAAAGTATGATGAGACCGATCAACAGCTCAAACGAGTTCACATCATCGAGCTCCTAGAACTATGTCTTAAGACGTTCTTTACATTCAACGGCCAGGTCTACGAGCAAAAGAAGGGGACACCGATGGGCTCGCCTCTATCTGGATTAATTGCCGAAGCGGTTTTGCAGAGGCTTGAGCGGCTGGTCTTCAGCTCGTACCCCCCGAAGTTCTGGGCCAGATACGTCGACGACACTTTCGTTATCATCAAAAGTGGCGATGTGCAGGCTTTCAAGGCACTGTTGAATTCAATCTTTCCCGACATCCAGTTTACCATGGAAGAAGAGCTCAACAATCAGCTAGCCTTCCTTGACGTACAAGTGACAAAGCTGGAGGACGGGAAGATAAGGACAACGGTCTACCGTAAGGCAACTAACACCAGGCGAATCCTCCACTTCAAGAGCAACCACCCCGTTGGTCACAAACGCAGTTGTGTCAGGACCCTCTTCCAACGCGTTCAAACACATTGCTGCGACGACAATGGGAGGAAGGAGGAGATTAAGTACTTGCACGCCCTATTTAAAGCCAACGGTTATCCCAAGTCCTTCATACGCAAGTGTCTTAAGAACCCTTACCCTGAGCGGTTGGACGGAGAAAACCCGAAATTTTGGCTCGCAATCCCTTATGTGAAAAACGTGTCAGAGGCGACGGCAAGAATCCTAAAGCCTTTCGGGATCGGAGTGGCTCATAAGCCAGAGTCAACAATCAGACAGCAAATAATGAGACCCAAAGACCCGCTACCGGTGACAGAACAATCAGTGGTTGTCTACAGCATACCATGCCAAAACTGTGATGCAAGGTATGTTGGTGAAACGGGCAAACGTCTTGGCACAAGATTGCATGAACACCAGCTTGCAATCAACCGCAAGGACAAGCTGTCTATGGTTTATGGCCACGTCAAACAGCAGAACCACAATTTCGCCTTTGAAAAGGCAAGGGTAATCGGCCGAGCCAATGATAAGATGGCCAGACTGGTGCTCGAAAGTTGGTCCTCGACTGGCACACTCAACAGAGCCATAGATCTGCATCTCGCCTATCAGGCGCTACGTACAAGGCTCGAGTCAGTGCGGACAAGGCCATCAGGACAGCCGAGCAAAGTGACGCGTGGCCAACAGCCGATGTCAGCAGAAAGTGGGAAAGAAGCCGGCCGGGGATCATGTGACCAGCATGCGATGCCACCTCACCGCAACACCCACGAGGCTGAGATCAACTCACATGAGCCCCAACAACTGTTCAGTCCGTTGAGTGACGAGGGGGAGGCCGACAAACATGCTGGCTCACCAACAATTACGACGGCCGAAAAGGGGTCATTCGTTGCAGGAGCCCACCGGCGGTCAATCGTGGAGAGGTCAACGCTAATCGGCGGCGCAAGGGCAGGTCAAGGTTCGTGCCTCGCGCACGGATATAATACCAGGCAGGTATCAAGGCTGACGCAATCAAGACCAGCAGGAACAGTCAACGCATTACTCTGATGATGGAAACGAGAGGGTTTCCGAAACGTCAGTACAAATATAACTCGGTCCATGAATTCGCCCCATCTTCTTCTTCTTCTTCTTCTTCTTCTTCGGGGGATGATGAACGGGAGTAAAAAGTGTATATACACACCTTTTGAAAATTATCCATGCTGAAACACAAAGTTATACGTGTTCCAAAATCGTTTGGTTTTTATGCCAGAACCGCAGCCAAACATGATGTTAACATTTTCAGCTTGCAGACGCATTCCAGTACATATATTTGCAATTGTTAAAGCTACGTACGTTGACCGAGAGAATTAGGTATGTTTACTGGATGCATTTTCGACGCTGGGTCCTCAGGGTGTTCTTAGACGCTAATTAAATATGGCCAAACCTGCTAAAATATAAATACTTGTTTGTTGTTTGACTCAATAAACGACTGTCATTAGCGCTATTATACATCTAAAAAGAGCACAGATGTGGAAAAATATTTCTATATTGCTATTGGTGGTGGGTCTGCTTGACATTAAGGAGTCCTCAAATATCTCCTAAAACATGCAAAAACCTGGCGACAATAGCCTGTTGATCACAACACCAATTCTGTTGTTTATGTTTAAATTATCTACAAAACGACATATCCTGAAAGCGGAAGCTCCTGTTCTTTTCTGAAGACGACAGAGGGAAATAATCTTTTAGGTCCATTGAAATACGAATTTTAATACTGAGTTAAGCAGACCTCTGTGTCAGAGGCCTTGAGCAAAGTTAAGACCTGTGTCTGCATTATTTTACTTAAGGTGCTTTAAGACAATATTTGTCACATACATATTAGCTTCTGCTGTTTTTCCTAAGAATTCCCAGAAGTAGTTTCTAAATGTTTTTATGCATGACTTAGCTGATGCATGCAATGCCTCTGATGCGAAGAAGAAATCATTTCCTTCCCCACCCCATACACAACAGTTTGTTTTATTTTTCATTAATTTCTATTTTTACGCCATAAAATGTGCGTTATTCTGGCGGCCGAATTAATAACAAAACTCTTCAATAAACGCCCAACCAATTCATTTATCAAAACAGTTATTAGTCATGAATGTGGCGCGCAAAAATAGCCCATAATAAACTCAAACGCTTACTGGACATTAAACCGGTCGTCAGTCAGCGCCCTTTTCGATAATATTTACCTAAGCTAAAAAACCACGGTATGGAAAACAAAAACCTGTCCGCTAGCATTATTACAGGGTTTCAAAACATATAATTCCACATCTTTGCAAATCACAATTGTTAAATGATAAAATCCTCTTTTCTTATCATGCTCCCATCACAGTTATACAGACCGAAACTTCAGGTTAACGGTGGCTGGGTCTGCTTAAGCCTTTCTGCCAGGCACTTTGCATCTGTGTGCTAGATGAAGTAGAGAAGTCTAACATCCGTTTTTTCGGCCCATGTCGAGAGGCAGGATATTGTCTTAAAAGTTAAATTACAGTTACATACGTCATCAGGCTCATACTTACTTAGAGCGATGGACGGAACCATTACTGTGTTAAATGATAGTACTCATTTTCGTCGCTGGTGTCATCGCCACCAAAGACTTCTTCCTAATACTGATGAACATAGTGATGTTGATGATGTCTGTAACTGACCACAGGACGAACAAAATCGTCCTCCTGCCTACTTGTATACCGTCTTAGTCAGTCATGCCTATTTTTAGGTAGAACTCTGTCCTTAATAATTTTTCAAGTAGTGGCCTCACTTATTTTGAAATAAACATGCCACCGACATAGGCCGCAACTCTCTGCGGCCGATTTCCATATGCTTTCGCAGTCGACTGCTGACAACAACTGTTAAGCCAGTTCTATCATAGGATATAACACAGCATTTTGACACCTTGTCTCCGGACTCGACATATGCTTTGCTGTGCTTATCAGATCTCGATACGGTAAAACTAACTACTGCCAAACAAATAGATCAGTGAGTTTTGCGGCCCGGAAACCCATAAGTTGCCTAAAGCAAAATGGTTAAAGCACAATTTGGCCCTCTTTTCCTGAAATGACTACAATTTTTCTTACCCACCTTCATCTGGTCTTCGTAGAAGCCAAATCGAGTTTCTAATTCACATAAGGGACTTATTTTAAGCTTTATTTATTTATTTTAATGTTTGAGTATAGCAAAATGCCAATAAACTTGAGGTTTTGACCTGCGAATTTTATTATCGTTGGAAATTACTCGGGTAATAAAAGAGGCCGGATTTGTCCGAATCTGCCCGGTTTTCCATTAGTATTGCAGAGTTCTTATAAATGTTCCTTCAAAAACAGCTTTCTGCGCATCACTGCAATTCAAAAAACCAACAAAGCTCCCAGATGCAGGATACGCTGCCCGAACGTTCGACCGTCGATATTGACGATACCCACCGTGTGCTTCACAGTTCGGTGGAGCAGGGACTGTGATTTGTGGCTAAGTAAGTTCATTGTGATATTAGAGTAGCACAGCACCTACCGCACTCTCCTTCCGCATTCTCCACCTGGACTCAGTGTCAAGACAGAGTCAAGAAGACCGGGGATGGGGAAGGGCGCAGGTGGCTGACACGGCCGGAGCCACACCTAGGCGTGCCACCACACCCCTTGGACCTCTCATCAAATGACCGGGATTTTCCACCAACAACAACACCACACCAGTGTCAGGGCAATAAGGATGAAGATGACTGGGCAGCCATGCCCACCACCTGTGTACCTAGTGGGAGCGCAAACGCATCTATCGGCGGGGAACCTGGTGTCACGGAACTGCCAGCTCACACCAGGCTGCGAGGGCCATCGTTTGCTGGTTCTGTCATAGCACACGCATACGGACCTTTTTAGTATATACTACACACCTACATTTCAACCCGAACACACTCTCATTGAGAAACTTCTGGAAAATACACATGTTTCCAAGGCTTAGACCTGGTCTTCATTTTTTGACAATGATTCTTTTGCATGAAGGCGCTTGCGCATTCATCTAGGCGCGACAGACCTCAAAATTGATCAGTGGTTCCCGTTTTTCTTTGAACATTGCAGAATATCTGCACTCAGCGACTATGCGGCCGCACGAACAATCACAGGGCGGCAGACGAGTTAGCTGCTGCCGCAACAGTTTCACTATGACAAACCTCTCTGTAATAAATCATGCACAGTATCTTTTCCTGCAATATTTTCGATTTTGATGCAGAAAACGTGATTCAAAATCGCGTGCTATATTTGTCCATCTACTGCACATGGGAGTGATAAACACTGTGCTGTGATACAATGATAGGTCTAAATTCAGATAGACGAGCTTAGTCCGTCTCCTGGCAAATGAAAATACTATTTCGTCAGCTGGCAGTCATTTGCAAAACTGACTGGTGGCGATAATTTTTGATCGTACAGTTACATTTCTACTGAAATTTATAAGCAGTGTGCATAAGTTGCTATTTTCTCCTGTGGCGGCATTCAGTAAGGACATGCTATAGTTGGCCGAACCATTAGCCTTAACCTCAAACTTAGATGTTGTTTTCCTGCGATAGACTTGCCGTTTTGCTGAGTCCGGAATGTGTCCATGCCGCTTCCATCCCTCTCAAAAGAAGTGGACATATTAATGGCGATTTTGTATGGTGGGTCAATATTGCCTAGTTAGCGTGCATTGTTTACGCAAGCACGCTTTTCAAATAAACAGCTATTTTTCTTAGTTGTATAGCATAGAGAAACGTGAAATTCCGCTGACGGATTCAATAAGCATAAATCTGATTTTTAAGTGCCTAAATGTGTGCCTAGGGATCCAAATGCCAACAGTACTGCTTACGTCATGCAGTGCTTACGCCACTTTACATCAGGAAACGCTTTAAAGGCTTTGGGGGATTGGACGGGGAATACGGATACTTCTCATCAGCTAAATGCTTGGCCTAGAGCTAAGGAAACAATTGTGACAGAAGGTGGGTTACGAAATAAATTTATTCGTGCACAACTACTATTGCAGGATCGGCTGTTACGTGCTGTCTGTTGTCTGCAGTTAGGTACAACCTATAGATTCTGCTCAGGGGACAGCCAGGCAAACCGGGAATCCAGCGGTTTGTTGTAACTTAGAGCGATTGTTTTTGTGCAATGCACCTGTTTAGTTGGATCTCCGTTTCAACTTTTGTTACGCCAAATAAATGCGCAGTGCCACAGAACGCCTCGGCCTGTATCGTTTGCCCGTTATTACTCATCACGCCAGCTCTTTCTGACTAGCTATAATATCTCATCAGCTCAGACATTCAACATTGGCATTTTCATTTATTTTTGAAGCTCGAGATTTGGTCCAACAGTACTTAAAACCTGTGATGGTTTGACCATGTCTATAAACAATTAAACCTGTAAACTCGCGTTCCGTAGACAGAGTGACGTTTGCAGATTTAGTAAACACACAGTACCTACATATTAGCACAGAAAGCGGCTAAAAGGATCGGAAGTCGAAGTGTCTTATAAAAGCTCACGAATCACCTCATCCCGGTCTTTGCACACCAACGATCTGAACTGAAATTTGCACCTCCAGCACAACGAACATTTCCTACAATATTTGCGTCAAGAAACAAACCTGCTAAATTTAAAGCCTGTCGAATTTTCATTATTCCTGTGGACAGCCGAATTTCAGCCGGAGGTCAGATACCTTACGACCACTGATTGATGACGGACAAATGCCGGTAACTATGCTATGCTAAGTTCCGTGCCCCAACAGTTTGACCGTCTGTGTTCAACATCCAGAATAGGATCAGGGACGGTGGATTCACCGTGAACTCGCCTATAGTGATAGTAGACATGGGCAGCAATTACCACAATCTCTCCTCCTCTTTAATCTCCTTCCTTTCCTGTAAAATGATGACGTGGGGTATCTGGACGAATTCTTCGAGTTGGCGAATTCGACTAACCTAAAAGTCGTTGATTCAAACTACGTGAAAGCAATGCCGGGCTAAACCCACTGAAGCTTCTCCTCTCCATCCAACGGACTGGGTTTTTAAAATGCTTTGACTGAGAAGG